CTTTTGCTGGCTCAGGGCATCGTCTTATCAGTCCGGGGTAATTTATCAGTTTGGGCTCTGCAGTTCAGTCTGGGCCTCACCTCTGCTGTCACCGGAGGTGTGTCTCGCTGGCCAGGGCTGGGTCTCTACGCTCTGCTCTCTGTGAGGGAGCAGAAACAGAGACGGCTTTTCTTGCCTCCTCCCTCCCTTCTTCGAGGACTGAGGTAAAGCAGCCGGGAAGAAACAAGGCAAGATAAATTCAGAAGGGACAACACTCAGCGAGGTGAAGCGAGGTAGACGCTGTAATGCATTTGGTGAGCTGTCAAATCCTATCTCTTATCCCAGGGGAATCCCAGACACACGAGCAAATCATCAAGCCGTGTAAACCACATTATCAGCCTCTTCCTCTGGAAAACATCATCACGCAAATCCATTTGTCCTAGCAGCCAAATGATTAAAGTTTGAAAACTAAATTATACACTTTGCTGCAACAGCGTAAAGACAACAATGGCTCTCCTCTATGACACCTGTAACCTCTGTTGTAACACCTTTAATGAGCTTTCAGCCTCGTCATCCAAAAAGAGAAGATCATCACACAACGCTTTATGCTATGAAGGTGTTCTTCGCGCTGCGGTGGCCAAGCACCTGCAACGCACCTGCTCTGAGGAGCTTTCACGGGAGCTGTGGGGGGCAGAGCCAGGCTGGGGAGCTCCGGAAATGGGGCAGGGGGTGCAGGCCCCCAGGGCAGGCCGCCACAGCGGCGTGAGCCCCGTCTGTAGCCTGCAGTATGCTGGAAACCCTGTGAGGGGAAGGAGCACCTATCCCCATTACGCAGGATTATCCTATGGTGTGGTGTTATTCCAAACTTGCATCTTCTCAGCTTAATTTAATAACAGGCTACGAGCTCTGCTTTGATCTGCTTGTGCATTTCACTAGTTCCATATTTAACTGAACTCATCATCATAAAGGCCGGGAACTGTTTCACTTTCTGTGCCAGGTTGGGTTTCCTGTTGGACCTGCAAAGGACACACCTGCACGGTGGGTTTCTGGCCTGCCAGGACGGGGGATCCTGTTATTGACAGAGGCAAAGGGAGCACAGGAATCTGGAGTTGGTGGATTCCTTTCCCCAAACATGTGGCCAGACCTGAAAATCCAGCTGCTTGGCTTTTTTTTTTTTTACTGGTTTCCATGTCTGCTCCAGTGTGTCCTGGGAATGTGCGACAGGACTCTCTGCTTCTTTCCTGGAGGCCTATGAGTGGAGCTGGAGCTGGTTTGCCCCTTCCAAAATCTGCACACTGGAACACGCTTTGCCTCGAGGCTTGTTGCATTTATCAGGCGTTGTCCTGTGTCTGTATCCCAGGTGTCACCTGCAGTGCTCTGCCGGACGAGAGCCTTGCTGGCCGTGGGCTCTCCCGTGGGTTCCGTGCCGCTGGCCGCAGCCCACAAATGCCGCTGTTACCCCAAACGCAGCAAACCCAACTGTAAGTCTGTGGTTCTCACTTGACACGGCAACCTCTAATTTGGGATCCCAGGCGGCAGAGGTAACAGAAACTGTCCCTGCTGGGGCTGACCTCCCGCCTTGGGTTAATCACCTTGCGGGGCTGAGACCCAAGGGCTGGGGAGCCCAGTTTGCAGGTGATGTGGGCTTCAGTCCTGCTCGCGAAACGCAGCCGGGAAGCTGTGCCCACCATTCGTGTGAAGCTTCTTGTCAGATGCTTTCCAGAAAGACAAAGAATCTTAAATACTTCAGTTTTCACACTTAACAGATCACACTCGTGATGACAGTACCTGCTGGCGGTAACTGGAAAAACCCACAAAAAAACCCAGAATTGCCAAAACAGGCTTGATGAACTTTAAAAACACGCTGGAGGAGGTAAAGGTAATTTGGGTGAGCGCAGAGGTGATACCATTCTGTCCCTCGGCAGGGATCTGCTCCCAGAACGGTGACGTAGCTATGGCAGCGCACTGTACTTGCGGGATGCTGACATTTACGTGTGGTCTAAAAGATCTTAAACCTGTCCCTTTGCTTATAATTAAGGAGTTCATGTGGGGTTTTTTTATCTTCTACCTGCCCATCTGGTTCTGCAGTGAACTCATCCCAAAGAGAGACATGAGCTCCCGACATCTCAGCGTCCCCTGCCCGTGCTGCGGGAAGCAGAGGGACCCAGTTTGTGTTCCCAGGCACCCTGACTTTTCCAGGGGTACCGGTGTTCCTCATCGCTGGGCTCTGCCCATTGAATTGCTTCCTCTCTGGGCTCTCCGGCCTGAAAAGATTCACCAGTGAGAGGAGCAAGCAGGATCACAAAAGGTCTGGACGACCACGGTCATTTCTGGGACCACCCTCCAGGGCCCTGCAGTGCGCTGGGCTCTGCTGCAGCTCAGGAGCCCTGCGCCTTGCCCCGTTGTGCAGTGCCATCTCCTGGAAAGCCGTGCCTGAGCTGCACACAACAGTTTGGCTCCTGAAGCAGCTGCAGGCAGCTTGGCCACTGCCTCTGGTGGCTGCAAAGTTTTATCTTCTGACCCAACAAGAGTCCCCCACGCCCCCAACCCTTCTTCTTCCAGCAGGTACAAGGATGCTGCTCACTGCCCGGCTGCTCGCCCTCACCGCCAAGGTACCTTGTGGCAGAACATCCCTGCGTGGCTCTTTCCCACTCTGGATGCTGAATACACATCTCTGGGTACAAAGAGAGCAGCAGAGGACACAAACGAACATCTACAGATGTTACTCGTCAGCTTTTGTTGTGCCTGGGCACCAGCTCCCTGTTCAGTTGAATGCCTTGCATATACGTTCGCCTCGTTTACCTCTTCCTCTGGGTTCTGACTTTAAGGGACACATTTCCTCTCTTCCTCTCGAAGTTTGATGACCTCGTCATGAGCAACAACCAAGCCCCCTCATCGCAGTGCTCACCCTGTATTTAAAATGTTGCTACATCTTTTTAATGAGACAAAAATGTGTACGCGGAACTTGCACGCTGCTGGCTTGACTAAGCTCTGTATTTATCCCGAAAACACAAGAAAAATGGGTGGTTCCAAGGGCAACACGTTTACTCCTATGAAACAGTAACACAGGTTAAGTGCTTAGTCACTGAAAAAATGCACACTGCAATTTAAAGCCAAAGGCTGGTACTTCATCCATCATTTTAGGCTGTTGTGGCATCTTCTGAGCAGCTGGGAGATTAGTACGCTTCGGTAACCTGTCATACACAGTGAAATAACCAGTGCTCCAAGGTAAGGCTGCAAAAGCTGTTATTTGAAAAAGACCATAATTATGTAAATACAAGGCCACAAATTTTGTGAACAAGAGAAAAAGCTACTGCAACCCGTGGCCGTTCACAGCTTCCTTTGGCCCTTTCACAGAATCATGTTGCGAAGTTGTTGTCTTGAACTCATTTTTGCCCCGGAGCACACCGATGAACTGAAAGAGCCTGTTTACCAAAAACGTATTTTTTATTAAAATTCATATTTGTAAAGGAGAGATCATTACACAAATGAGGTCAACCAACACATATGACATAGTTTTCACTTTAAAAATAAATTTCAATTAAGTAATTGATTTGATTCCATGAAGTCTGAGAAGAAGAGTCAGGGGAGTGTTACTCATGGAGCGAGACGCCGGACAAGGCGAGAAGATGCAGGTGATGCCGCCCTGACTCAGCACAGAGATGTCGGTGCCAAAGGGTCAGGAGCCTTCCAGGGGCTGATGGTTTCCCCCGCGCTGCCCTTGCTCCCCGCCAGCCTCGCAGACGAGAGGTGAGTAAAGGCCAGAGACAGGCAACCCTCTTCACCTGCTGCTCCGAGCAGGCCCCCCCGTCAGCATCCCCCCCTAAAAGGCTGTGTAAAGGTTTAATTTGATTGTGCAAACTCACTCCGTCATCAATCGTGGCTCACCGCATCTCAGCCCTAAAGGAGACTTAACAGCAAGCAAATACCAGCTTCGAAAGAATATTTTGAAATATTCCATTTCAAAATTAACATCTGGCAAGCAACATGGCCGCTAACTGTGACACACTTTGCAAGTTACAGGGAGAAAAAGAGTTATGCTTCCTTTTCTTTTGTTTTGCCTGTAGTTTGCTTCCATGCATGTACAAGTGGAGCTTTTAATCTAAAAGTTTATGAAGTTACTGCAAGTCTGTAAGAATCACGTTCACCACCCTCTGAAATTCAGCTTTCTCATTGAGGACCAAACCTCACTGCCTGAACACCTCAAAGAAGCGAAAGGTGGCTGCAAATGTTGTTTTACCCCTGCAAAATAGTGAGGTGAACCTCAGAATGCCACTCAAAGCCAGCAAGCAGAGTAACAAAGAACGGCTGTACTCGCTTCCAGCTCCTGACAAGTACAGCACAAATACCACCACCACCAGCAGAACCAAGTAACGCTCCACAATCCACTCAATGACACCAGTGGCTGATAAACTGCTAAATGTTGGGAATTACTGTAAGGCTGAAGCTCCGCAGTCCAGGTCCACTTTGAAGGATGAGGGTATTATGGGTGTGACAAACTATGCAGAGGAGACAGAGATGGAGTTTCACCTGTTACACCCGAGTGAAACTCATCCAGGCCCCCGTGCATTAACTGCGCTGAGACAGGCAGTACGTCGCTTCCGATACGTATCCCAGGACAGTATCTGGTAACCAAGGCATGAAATTTTCATCACATCTGCCAAGTTTCACGACCCTATGCAGACAGGACATGAGGTTGAACGCACTGTTTTCATCCCATTTCTATCCTCAGGGGACGTGGGTGGGATTTAACCGGCATGTAGGCTTGGTGCTGGTCTGCATGGGCTGGATGTCACACTCCAAGAGCCGCGCCCACAACTCTTGGTGCAGAGAGAAGGTTGTACCACATCCAGTTTCTAGAAAATGCTTTCAGCAAGAGACAGAAATGCATTCACTGCTGTGCACTCGTTGGTGATAACTGTACCCTGGCAGCTGCAGTGCTGTGATATTGCAACAAGGCTCTCCACGTCAGAAGTCAGTTAAAGGCTATAGATCTTGAGAGAGGTGTCATACTTAGGAGAGCTTTTTCCAAACAGAAATAAAAAAATAACTGTCCTTTTTTTTTTTTTTTTTAATAAATCTATTGTTTGAGGAACTAAAGCAACCAATGTTAAAGTCCTGGTTTGTTACACATCCTGCTACAGCTCTGTATGAGTCTGAAAAGGTGGATTAGCATAAGATTAGCAGAGAAAGAAAGCTGTTTAGGCTCAGCAAGACTCCAAGGCGAGCCATTTCACATTGACAAGAGCTAGCACCCCTGGATCCCTGTGTCCACTGGCACCACAGGCAGGTTTTTTCCAAGAAAGACATCCCATCACTGTTTCTTTCACTGGATCATGCCATCTTGCTGCCCCGTCTGGCTGGGGTCAGCGGTGACCGACGGACTGGGTGTATTGCTCTGCAAAAATCGCCGGAAGTCCTTAATCATGGGGCGGAGGACCTGGATGAGGGCACTCAGTGCCGCCTGTGTTCCTTCCATGGCTTGTGCCTGTCGCTCCTGGGCGCATGCCTGCACCTCCTGAGAGCGACGAATCATCTGAAGCAAGTCATTCTGCTGCTCGAGGTGCTGGGCAATCTCCTTCACGTGCAAGTTGGTCACTCGCTGCTCCTGCAAGAGCTTGGCTGAGTTCAGAGCAATTCGGCTTTTCAGCTCCTGGGGTTTCGCAGACACTTCGTGTTGATGCGCCATCATCTCCAGGGGTGCTTCGGTAGTGACTGTGGCGGGGGCTTCTGTTGTGCAGTACTCCACAACTCCGTCCTCCAGACTGTGGTACGTTGTCTCTGCAGGAACTGAGAACAAAGGACAGAAAGGGGGTAAGAAGTAGCTGCGATATGGGGATTTTTATCTACAGGACTATTCAATGAATATCACAGGAATATCACAAGAATACTGCCTGTTCAGTGAGATAACGCACAATGAACAGCAACTCGCAAAATGACCTATTTAAGTCTACTCCACCCTCATTCAAGCTTCCTTCTAGGCTGTACAGTCCAAAGGGCATGCCTTATCTGTCTAGACAAAATAATTTCTCAACCTCCAGTTCAGAACAACCTTTCCAAGCGGCATTAACCAACTGACATAAGGGCAAAGACAAGATCCAGAATGACACTTGTCAGGACAGCTGCTCTTTGGGGCAGACTGGGAAATCAGCCTTGGAGATGTTTCTCCGTTTGCTTTTGTCCCCAGAGAGGGGGACTAAACAATCTGCAAGGTGCAAAGGATACTGGTTTCCCTTGTTCTTATGGCCGAGCCCTGCTATCAAAGCTGACTTTCAGTACGTGCGTATCTTGCAGCCACTTCCCTACAGCACGAGGACACACTGGGAACGGCGCTTTCACTACAGAGATGCGGGGGTTTATTTTCCTGAGGCTTTCCCCAGCCAGGGCTCAGGGCCTCCTCGTGGGCGGGTGTCAGGGCCCCCCCGTATGACCTTCCAAATTCAGCACAGAGCATCTTCAGCAGGCGCAGCACTCACTCTGGGTCAGGGTGACCGTGGTGGCTGAGGCGGTGATGGGTATCTCGGTACCGTCACCCGCGCTGCAGTCCCCACTCGGCAGACTGATGATGGTGGCTTCTCCCAGCAGGTTGCAGATGCGTTGCTGCATGGGGGTGAGGATAACCGGGGCGGTTGCAGCGCCCGTCGGGTCTTCGCTCTCTGGCCCGTTGCCGTTGCCATTCTGGCTCTCGCCTCCCCCTTCCATGGCGGCCCGGACTTGGGCCACTTTTCGTCGCACCTCGGTCTTGAGGTCGGACCATTTCTTTTTGACCTCGGGCAGCTCGCGGTGGCAGGTGGCGACGGCGTTGACGCGGCGCAGGATGTCGTGCCAGGCGGCGGCCTTGGCGGCCAGAGGCACGCCCGCGTTGAAGTGGTTGATGAGGAGGTGCTTGCCTCGCTCCAGCTCCTCCACGATGATCTCCACCTCCCGCTCCGAGAAGTTCATCTTCCGCTTCTTGGCTGGGGGTGCCGGGGGCGAC